AAGCAATCAAAGCTGAAACGCCTTTGTCAGTGCGTATCCATCAACCTTGCTCATCTTCCCGTTTCAATATATATGACAGCGCAATCCTATATCCTCGGCCCTTTTTTAATAAAATGTTTGATTCGGACAGCTGTGCTGATGTGGTAATCTCCAAAAATGAGTAATTTTCCACTGGGGGAGAATGGCGGCGTCAAATTTGGTTAGCATCAATCGCAGATGTGAAGCAGCAACGGGGAAAAAAAAAAAAAATTGGAAAACAACTTAGGCTTCTCAACTTTCCTGACTGTTTTCACAGATTGATTCGAACGTGGTATTATCGGTAGTACTCTCTGTACCAGTTGTGAAAGTTTTTACCAATATTGAAGTCAGGGGGAAAATTAGAAGCTGTCATAACTGTCCCTTTAAAATGACAATTATCTCATAAAGCTCTGCAGGCTCCCGTCAGCAAATCATATCCGTGTTGGAGGTTCCATTGTCGGAACAAACGGCCCCACCGAATTAATCTTTGCGTCGTGATGTGGGACAATGGCTGAACAGAAAATTGGAAAAGGGCTGAATTAAACCGGGGGAAAATTGAACACCGGGCAAGAATAATAACGCAATAATTTGATGGAATGGTTTCACGCGGGACATGTGGCTGAAGTGCAGAACTTTGGTTTAGTGCCTGCTTGATGAGATTTGTCTGTTTTCTGCAGTTTCTTTGCAGTAATGGAACGATTTATAAAAATCCAATCTAGGAATGTCATAAAGGGAAAGAATGTTGCAACCTGACGCCACTTTTTTTTTATCAGGTATCTCATCTCAATGAAGGTCAGTCATTGCAAACATGTTGGAAAGACATGAATCTGGGACTGAGAAACATTTCCAATTTTGTTAGGAAAAACTTTGAAAATGTTCTTGACTCTCCATGGACTTTGTACACAACCGCTGAAATGGCGTTTGGATACTACATTCTTTCCTCCTTAAGTTATCATACTTCGAAGCTTATGTCGATCAATTTTCTTGACCAAATGTTCTTTAGTTTTTTAAAGATTTTGAGTGAAGCAAGATTTCTTACAATCTTTACTGACATTTAGATCAAACTGTCACCCAAAAAGTCAAAAAAAAGATTAATGAAAGGAAAACTTTCTGTAATGAAAATTGTGTGTTAAGAAACATAATATACTGATTTTAAATAGTCAATTGACCACAAAACAAACAAACAACAACACATTCCCCTTTTTTGTCCTTTTTTTTCTCCATTCATCAATTTTCACCGCTTCCCGCATGGGGTCCTTTGCCTGTGATGACAGTAGGATGAAATATCTTCTTGGTTTTTTTTCCTTCAAATTTCATTACGTGTTTACTTAGTGAAGTCTGGATTTTATAAATTTAGACGAACGTGCCTGTCAATTTGATCCTGGATATTAAATGTCTAGTATTATATTCGTTCCAAATATGTTGGATGCACTTTTACTCTCTGTACACACATGGGGAATAATCTGAGAGTGAAGTAGCTACTGTAGTGTAAACTTAAATGTCAAGAAGATTGCGATGAAAGCAGACTACCTGCAAATAGTGCGTCATTATTTTCACATTCTGCAAAAAAAGAGAGAAAAATAACAATTTAATCATAACATTGACATCATTGAGATATATGGGTCTCCCTCGCCAGTACTCACTGTCAGTAGCTTTCCGACCCCTCGGGGCCACATGTTCCCTGGATCAACTCTTCAATAATAAGTGTGTCCTCATCTCCCCTCCTAAAGAACACCTGCCGAAATGAAGAAGAAGGGGAAAAAAGCCCAGAAAAAAATAGGGGAGACCTTAAAATCTGTAATGTAGTATTCAGAACTCCTCCGAAATAGTCGCGAGTGTTTAGAAATGTTGTTTGTGGGACCGTTTTAAGGAGACGGGGACTGGGCTATAATGGATAGAAAATGGTGGTGCTTGCCGGAGGGCTGGCGTATCCGTTACTGATTGAGCAAGCAGAAGAGGGTTTAAAAACTAGATTGGAAAGGTTGAAGGGGGGGGGGAGGGAGAGAAGATGGGTTATAGCGCAAGACTGGAGATAATGTTGGTCGGAGTGATGTGGCTCTAATGGAAAGATTGATCAGCGGTTCTCGATGTGCAACACATTGATTTTTGTCGTTGGCCTGTTGTCCGATGTCCGTTTTGAGCGTCTCAGCAGACGGGGTTGTTATGCGGCGTCTCCTCCTCCCTGAACTCTTGGGAGGTGATTTTGATTTCGTAACCAAGAAATTTGAAGACCTAATGATTTTTGGGGTTTGGTTCTCCTTTCCTGAGGTTGTTGATCTGTATGCAATCGTGATTCCTTCCTTTTTTCTTCTTTTTTTTTCTCCCTTCCTTAAAATTAATTGCATATCATTTGATTCCGGCAGCGGCACTAGGAGTTGAAATTGAATCCTTTGATTAATTTGTCCTGGCTTTCTTGGCTACAGGGACATTGTTGTCGTTGCTATCAAGTTTAAGGCAGGATACTGGGTCAGCGTCCTGTCATCTTCTGCAGTCTGCTCCCTGATATAGTACTTTTTAATAATCATTTTGATCTTTAAAAAAAAATTGCATCAAATGTTCAGTTGGAAATGAAATTCTCTTTGTACGTCACGTGTATAGTGGGGCTCCAGGTTAACACATTCAGAATTCACTAACATTTTCAGATAAAAGTACCAGTATTTGCCAAGTAGACCATTTACTTCTTAAGTGCTTGTCTCAATTCCTGATCGGGTCCTCCATATTCTGGAAAGTCTTATCCACAAAGTGCCGTTACAGATCGTGTTGATTCTTTCTCATGATTCATGGAGCAAATTGTTACGATAAGTACTTGTCACATTCTGTGTCCAATTTTACAATTACTTTGCAATTTACAGGCATGCAACTTTTCTTTAGATCTGTGAATTCCCTCACTTGTCACTTCACACTTCTTCCATTACCCCTAACCTTCCAAAAATCCTCCAAAATCCTCTTTGCAAAAATGGAGGATTTTGCAGGATTGAGGCTATACCGGTATGTCTCAAATGTGTGGCTGATTTTGGAGGATGCACTGTGTCAAGGTCTTGGGCCGGACCTTGTGTTTATGCGGGATGTCACTGGCTCTGCCTCAACATATTAACAGTGATTGCTGGAGGATTTTGCAGGATTGAGGCAGTGGTTAGCCCTCCAAGGACCACATTCAAGAAATAACGGAGGATTTTGCAAGATTGAGGCTGTATGCAAAATGGAGGCAATTGGAGGATTTTGCAAGATTGAGGTTGCATCATAGCAAAAATGCCTAGGGAGTTAGGGTCAAAAATTGAAAAAAAAAAACTATATAAAGTCTTGTAAAGTCCAACTTGCCTCTTTTATTTGTTACTTCCCAATTGCATAACTGCAAATTTAGACAGGTACTGAGGAAGGCCTAACAAGTAACATAGAGTATAGACCTCCGCTTTTTATACTTTTTGCATCCTTTCTTTTAAGAGAACTTTTTCTGGGGAAAAAAAGCCTTACGGGTGAAGTGCCCGAATCTCAAAAATCAAACATCAATTGCCAATCCCCCCCCCCCTTCCCCAGGAAACTACCCCCACCGGCGGAGCTAAATCTTCCCCCGTCCCTTGTGGGTATCCCGTCCTCTCCAGTTTCACTCACCTGGTGTGCTTTCCTCTTCTCTCAAGATAACCATCGATGGATTTCCTAGACATCTTCCATTAGGACAGGACGTTTCCTGCATGAGTGTGTGTGTGTGTTTGTGATATTATATCAGCCCCATCTCCGCTCCCCTCTGACTCATGGTGGAATATTTATGATTGCCAGCAAAGATTTGCTTCCAAAATGAAGATGTTTTTGGATATATATCAGAACAAGGGACTGTTCGTGGTTTTCATTTGTGGTTGCTCTTCGGAGCAATAAGTGCTTAACCGAAACGGCAGGTCTAAATTGACGTAGGGTTCATGAAGTCACGTTTGAGTTAAATTTCATCAGAAGTCAATGCCGTATTACATCAACTCGCAACTGACATCTCGGAATGGCTTTAGCTTTGCATGATTAAACATAAAATTTATTTTGAAAGTCTGAATTGTTTTGAAGTCTGTGTTGAACCTACAGAACTAAAGTGAAGTGATTTGAAAATACGCGTAGTTCATGTCAAACTGTCACAAAGCTGATTTGAGAAAGTTGTGTGAATCATATGGGCTCCGTGCACGGACAGTAGGTGGCGCTTTCCGACTACTTTCGAGAGCCCAGCGGACGGGACTCATCGAGTACGCGTACTGATTTACGCGCATATGGTGCAAAGTACGCATGACTACTTATATACTGAATAGCATCTTTGTGTTTAAGCGCCAGGCGTTGTCTGCAATGCATTTGAATGTCTCTCCCAGTGGTCTCCCCCAACTCTCCCTTTTGTAACCCTTGAGGGGGTACTTGTGCACGGAGCCATGTACTATATGTACATGTACCTATTTTTCAACGTTTACACCTGTCTGTCGTTGTGTGCACCACCCAAATAAGACATTTGCGAGTGACCTATACCCTTATGGATTTAAATTTGAAAAATGTCTAGTACACTGACTTGCTCAGAATGCTTGGCACATTTTAACTTCGAATTCTCCAGACCAAAGACACTGTTGCTAATCACATGATTCGGGGCAAGCTCTTGCATAGTTATGTAAGAGACGCTCAGCACCAATACATTGTTCACAATGAGTGAGAATGGCACAAAGACACCAGACCATGCCTGAGCTGGGGTTTGCTAGCGTAAGGCTTGCCCCGAGTCACGTGATATAGTAACAGTCACGTTGGTCGGGAAAGCATTGGATTAAGTCAGCGTTCCAAATTTTATTCAAATTTAACTCGCAACTGGCTTATCGCTTTGTGCTGGTTGGCTGCATTAAGCAGTATTTGCCTGCAAAAAAATAGTACACAATCAAACTACTGGGTACTCAATTTGTTTGCTTTGGCAACACTTCACCTGTGTTTACACATAATCTTTATTATGTCTTGTTCCCTGTCTCCCCTTACAGGTCATCCAAGCATGGGAGGCCCAATGCCAAGAATGAACCACCCTCGGATGCCAATGCAACCAGTAAGTGAGCACTCCAGCATGATAATAAAGTCACATGTTTAGATATTAGAACGCATACAATTATTTTCTTCATATTTATGGGAAACTTTTGAAGTGAAGAAACAAATCTAATTCTGTTTCGGATGGAGATAAAAATATCTCCTGAATACAGATGTCTTCTCAACCTTACCAGCGTTATCCTCTGTACTTAACTGTTGGTGTTGCATGATTTTATGGATTAAGAACTGTGCACACCAGCCATAGATTACCCTTATGTTCAAAGTCTCAAGAATATTTTGAGCCAAAAACTCCTAAGGAGTTGGGGCTAAAATCCAACTTTGTCTTGCACATATCAACTTGAAGCAACAGCATCTGAACAAGTTTCTCTCTCCCAAACGTTTGTACTGTTTGGTGTGGAAAGTTTTTTTGAAGAGTTTTTGGTGCAGTCAAAATTTGTAATTCATGAAATCAGTCACAATGCGTATGCACCCTGTAGTGATCTTTGATACAGCAATCAATATTGGTGCGTATTTCAATATCTTGTCAAAGACAGTAAAATAATGCATTGTTTTCACTTTTTTCTCTCTCTAGAACGGTTCCTTCTCCCCACAGAACTACGGCGGTGGTATGAGACCGCCTCCTGGCTCAATGCCAGGGGGAATGCCGTTACCCATGTAAGTAGGTCTGGACTGTCACACCTAGCAAAAGCTTTCAACCTTCTGTGGACACAGTGGACAAGTTCATTCCTTTTTTTTTCATTTCATTTCATTTATTAATTTCACAGGTAAAAATTCAAGTACAGACAATAAGAACAGTAAAGAAAACAAAAACATGCACATACAGTTAGGAGAGAGAACAAGGAAAAAAAAAACCCCAAAAAACAAAAACAAACAAACAAACAAACAAACTAGGAGCCTTGTCTAAGGCTGTCTTATAGCACCAGGTGTGTCAGCATGCCCATGCCTGGCAATGCGGTGCGAACACCGCATTGCTGTCCTTACATCGTCCACCAAGCTGACAGACTATGCAGACAAACCGTTTACTGTCCATACACAGGCCAGCGGCGTAGCCTAGAGGTTCTCATGCTAGGGGGGCAAGTGGGGGGGGGGGGGGGGGGAGAGGGGGCGCTACATGTTACTGTTGGGGTGGGGGCACCTAATTTCATCCGTGATGAAAGGTAGACATGTTCTTTCCCCGTACACCCTGCCACCGTAAAATTGAAAAGTCTGTAGGGGGGGGGGGGGGGGGGGGGGCGCTACATGTTACTGTTGGGGTGGGGGCACCTAATTTCATCCGTGATGAAAGGTAGACATGTTCTTTCCCCGTACACCCTGCCACCGTAAAATTAAAAAGTCGGTAGGGGTGGGGGGGGGGGGGGGGTGTCACCATCTTTCCATGGGGGCACTGTTCAAAACTGACATCATGGTCATTGTCAGTCGATAGGTGGCACTATTAGCTTTCCACAGGACATTAAATAAACAGCAAATCGTAAAAAAACAACAAATATATTTGGTCCCCCCCCACAAAAAGTTGTGAAAATAAAGGCAATATCTGTTCAACCCACTTATCTGGTAACTTACAGGGGTGGGGGGGGGGTGGGGGTTTGAGGTTTTTTTGTTGGGGGGGGGGGGAGGGGGCATACAACGTTTACCATATAGTGTTGGAATTTTCAGGAGTGAGGAAGGTTCCTAGTAAATCACCCGGGGGGGGGGGGGGGTAGGGTTAATGTGCTTCAAGATTGTTCTTATCTTGGTAAATATTGACAATTGTTTTTTCTTTTTTTAATGACCCCACAAGTCAACTTGTGAAGAAGATTTGCAAGGCTTCTCATATGGTGTTTATTGAAGGAGTGAATTGTGGCCATTCTATTGCTATTTCTGACAATTTCTATTTTGTTCTTGTTTGTGTTCAGGCCCGGAGGAAGACCATGGAATCCCAACACATCAACGGTATGACATGGCAGATTGGATTTTGAAATACTTTTGATTTACAGCCAATGGTTTTCCTATTCTGAATAAGCTATTTTTTTTCTATTTCAGACAATCCTTAATTCTGTTTCAGTCAATCCTTATTTCTGTTTAAGCCTTGATTAAAGTGAACGAATCCTTGTCCAAAATGGCTGTGAAGATTTTTCTCCCAAAAGATTGCTAAAGAATTGAAGCAAAGCGCAGATTGCATTTCTTATGATGTACGTAATTCGTCACAGTTTTTCACGAAGAGACAAAAAGTGTACTAACAAATAGGAAACTTGTCTCTTCATGAGAACTGTGGCGATAATAGGTATGTTGAACGCATTTCTTTAATTCTCTTTAGCATCCAATTTGTAAGTGAATGGTAGGATCCATTAAAACCGAAATTGTTCGGCTTTTTTTTTTAAGAAGTGGAAAACCATTGGGCCTACTTTCACATTCCTTCAACCTGAAATATATAGAATATCCCATATCAAAACTTCAAGCTTTCATCTACCATGAAAAGGGAATTTCTTTTGTATTCCTTTCACATTATGATCCAGCAGTGAGCTTAGAATTCCTCATACAATTATTAGCCAAATTGTTATTTTTGAATTAGATTTTTATAAAGGTACATATAAATGTTGAAGGGTCCTTTTAATAAGCTGTTCAACCAATATTTTAAACTTGAAAGGAACATAAATTTAGGTAATGCGACTTCCGAGTGTGTTTATCATAAAATTAGCGTCCATCTACAAATTACTTTATAAATACCCCCATGGTCCGAGCCACTTTCTTTATAAAGGTGTATTTGAAACCGGAAGAACTGAAAAATTAAAACATTTTACGGAACTGTGTTTTTGATGTAGATAAACTATTCCCGAGCCTCTCCAGGTGGTTTTGTTGTAAGTAATTTCCGTTATCCCAAAACACACAAAACAAGACATTTGAATGAAAAATCTGTGTGATTGTGGTCCCCAGTGGTTTGAGGTTTGGTTGTGACGTTGCTTTAATCATAGACAGTCGTTGACTAGATAACTTTTAAAATGTATATTATTAAGCGCTCGTTACTATTTATGTGTTTTGCATGATCTGATAAAAAAAGTTCATCGGAAAAACTGTACGGTAGTCTGTTTAAGGGCCTGTCACATTATATGCGATCTCATAGGAGACCTTACGGCGACCAGAAATACTTCATAAATTTAGCAATCGCAGCGAGGACGCAAGAAAATGACAACTTTCTGTCTCAAAGAAGCTCAAGCTATGCTCATACTGTGCTCTTCCCACGCTTACGATGCGCTCAACTCGCTCTCTATGCGCCCCTGTCAAGCTCAATTACTCGATCTAGTCGCTGCCACTGCGCTGTCACTGTGCTCACACTACGCTCTGTTCGCTGTTGATACGTCCTAGTAGCTCGCGTCGCGCTCTCTATTCGACCAGAATACGCTCATGTGACGTCACTTGCGCTGTATAAATATCACGACAAAACGGTCAATACACAGTCCAGTTTCAAAATTATTCTACAAGTTCATCGCAGTCGAGTTACTTTCTCATGAAGACTACGTCGACTGCCTTGCGCCTAAGCTGCCTCAATGCCATTTCAATGTCGCACGATTCACGCTTGCACAGCACCCGAGTTGCGTCATTACGGCGCCCTGGCCAGAGCGCAGAGGTGTTGCGATTGTTTTGAGTATGTTCAAAGACCTTGGCGCTCATCGGAGACCATTAAGACCCTCTGGCGCCCATCTGGCAACCTATGTAGTTGTCGCTGCGATCTAGTAGTTGTTTTTGCGCCCCAGCTACTTTTCAAGGACGCAGTGAGAGCGCATATAAGATCGCAGACAGTGTGACAGGGCCTTTAGTTGCTATGAAAATGTATATTAGTACGGCAGATAGGTGATGGGATTGTGCCTTTGATGATACAAGCATGGAATTTGGCACACAGTCAGTATGTCATGAGAAAGATATTTGGCTGTAGGGCCATCGCAGATTTGTCCTTTGAACAATTATAAAAAGAGTAACAAGCAATGGCAGCCATTTTGCAATTTTGAAAGTTGCTTGTTGTTCTACCTATATTTTTTTCAAAGGACAAATCTGTGATGGCCCTATAGACAAATATCTGTCTTAAGACATACTCTGACTGTGTGCCAAATGCCATGCTGTTATCATCAAAGTGAACCATTCCCCAAATGTTTCCCCTATCTGGCCCACTACAGTGGAATGCCGCTATACCGAACACCGCTATACCGAACATTCGGCTATACCGAACATCATCCTAGGCTCAGGGTTTTAATGTGCAAAACGTACTGAACATCGTTGTTGAAAAAAGTCAACAGATTAACAAAAAAAACCTACCGGTTGTACATGTATTTAACACTGTTTGGGCTACTTTGAATTCCCGAACATCAAACCACCCATGGTTACTTCCTGTTTGAATGTTGAAGAGCAATAGATGGCTATTATTTCCCCAAGGAATAAAAGGGAAAACCACCCGTTGCTAAAGTTTTGTGACAACTCCTCGTGCGGCGGCGGAATGTGAGAAATGCCAGTTCAGTGACTTCACTATTGGTCAAAAGAGGGTACCAGCGTTTCAAAATCGCTATACCGAACGATCGTTATTACGAACACTTTCTGTGGATCCCACGATGTTCGTTATAGCGGCGTTCCACTGTGTATAATTCACCTAGACCACCATTTCATTAAGTGTCCTCGTTGTAATCAGTTTACATGTACAGGTGGTGCTTGACTTTGAAATTTTCGTTCTGCAGCGGGGCAGCATATCTTTGTAGTATCCACACACCAAACATTTCAATTTGAATGTAGCACTTTAGTTATGTAGATTTTCTGTGTATGATTCAGTGTGCAGTGTTCACATACATCACGTTATGATTTGGTGTTTCTCAAAGTTTCAACCCTGTTAGCATGATTGTTAGACTTCATTCCACCCCCCCCCCCCCCCACATCAATTTTCCCGATTCCTCAAGAAAACAAATCTGATTATTTGAAAATCCAGTTAGCAATCTCACTGTACTTTAAACAAAGGGAAATAATGTAGTATCCAGACGCCACTTGTTCGGTTGATGTGATTAAAGATGAGATTATTATTCAGTTCTTGGTCGTGGAAGCTCATATAGAGAGCTGGACAGTGTGGCTACATATTCTCCAACAAGTTTGGAGTTCGCAGACCTAATATAACTCATACAAATCCAGTGACAAAATAACAAAATTTCCCAGAAAAAGATAGGCCATTGCGACCGTTGTTCCAAGGCATTCGACCAGCACCAACATGATTTGCATATTGTAGCCTAGCCACGTGAGGTCGCTATGCATGCTTCGTACAGTATGTATTGATCATTGGACACTATCTTTGAACGCCTTGCCAAGGCTATTTTATCCTTTCTTTGGTATCCTGTATTGGATTTGGGGAGATTTGGGGGTAATTGGAACTCGTTCCACAAGTTATTTCATAAAATGTTGTAGATTATTACAGTTGATGATCGATCTGGGGAAGAAAAAGGAATATCAGATAAGAACCGACAAGCATAGACATACAATATACAAAAGGATTTGACTTAGTAATTGAATGAAGTGTGCAAGTGTGTATCCCCAAGACACGTAATTATTTTGATACGTAAAAGTTCTTCAAAAGTTTGTCACCTTTTAAGTTTGGTGTTACTTATTCGTACATGTACTTCTCGTTTTACGCTATATACCTTTATGTAAACTTTTTTCACAATTTTATGTATCAGCCAATTTCATTGATTTTTAAAACGTAATTTCTCAAGTAGTGTTCCTCTTAATTACATGTAAGCTGTGAATGTGGTGTCGTGTATTTATTGTCAGCACTATTTTTTTTAACTTCTCACCATTCATTTTCCCTTCTTAAATGGCAATTGCTGAAAGATAGTTTCAGTGGCTGATACTTCCACAGATAACCACAAGAAGCATGATTCACAAAAATCCAGCCATTTGGTCCAAAAAAAAAAGGAAAAAAAAATTCATTTTCGCCGCCATAGTGGCATGTCACTAGAGCTGAAATGTCAAGGAACTTCCTTAAACTGTTCTTGCATGTTGACGTGATAAGCTCCATTGAATGTTACTTGAACCACCAAATACTCAACGATTGACGATAAAATGTTCACCATTCAGTTTCAAAATTAAGGTGGAAACCATAGGCTGCTTGGCAGCTTTTTTGACCGCACACTATCCAAGACAAAATGCTGCAAGTTATTTTTTGCTTTGTGAAGCTAAACGACTAAACTCAGACACATAACGGGAGTTTAGTTTCGATAAGTGGGCACGTTCATTTCAACATTACATGTACAGGTTGGGACCAGTCGCTACTATACACACTCTCTAAATCCCAAAGAGTGAAACCAGGGACTAGACATTTTAGAGTGAAAATTGCTCTCATTTCAGATTGAAATAGTCTGAAAAAAGAATAACTTCAGTAGAAGCTCGAGTTAAAACCCGATCTTTACGATAGAATGAATTTCACTCTAAAACGTCTAGACCCTAGTTTCCAACTGTGGGAGTGAATTTTCACTCGAATGGAGTGAATATTCACTCTGTGGAGTTTAGAGAGAAGTGTCTTAGACCTGTGAATACGTAACATGGATCACAACGAATTGATCCATTATTTACTGACTGTTTTTCATTTCCTCGCACAGGGTCCGCCAGGGAGCGGTGGTCCACCTGGTACGCCCATTATGCCAAGTCCACAAGGTAAGTTTCCAAGCTCCTATTTTCTTCAGGGAGAAAACTAGTCAATAACTTGTGAGAAACTAGTCACAAAAACTACCACGACCAAATGAAATGGCCCGATCAATAGTGAAACATCACATGCATGTGCCTCAGTGTGCACTTTTATTGCAAAATCTGGCTGAGCGCATCCGTTTTTGCAAGGAAAATGGTCAGAAAATGTCTGATGTCTGACCACTACTTCACCCTCTGGTTGGCTTACGTTAGAAAATGCTGTTTGCGTAAAACAATCATGGCACCTTTATCATTTTTGTGCTGCAGAAATCCGTCTTAAGATGTCACTATTCATATTTTCGAGGAATGCTTTGATGCAGAAGTGTTCTGCTTTCCACTCAACTTGCACTTGAGAATTCTTACAAAATTCTGGAAGTTAACCAGTTCGCGCCGGAGGCCGTGTAAACACGCAAAAGTTTTTGCGGTATTCGGAATGGATGACATAAACCCGCAGGGAGCGAGGCCGGACATATCTGTCACCGACCCGCTCGCAGCGAGCGAGGCCGAAAATATGAGTGTGCTGCCTGACTGAGGGTGATGGCTTCAACCCGCCTGGCTTGAGGTCGACGAGTGAAAAGTAATCCCGCGCCTCGTTCCGTTCTTGTCAAAATAATCCCGACGTGAACTGGTTAAAACTACTTGACAAGAGGCCACTTGTCGGTGGGACTGAATCCAAACTTGGCTAGATTATATCCCGTTTTGCAGGATTGAGTTATTCTGTGGTCTGTTTTGTCTGTTTGATAGCTTGGAAGTTGAGCAATAGAGCAAATTAAACCAAACTGGAATAGTCTGCAATTCTCAGTTAACCTGTTCCGAAACTCTGCCGCTTTTGTACTCATTCTGAGGTTAACCACATCATGTGTTGTCTCTTACGTGTACTTCAGTGATGTCTTACTGACACCTTGCCATGTTTTAGTAACTTGTGTCAAACAGAAAGCTAGCACTGCATTTTCTGCTGGCATGATTCATTTGCTCTGCAAATTCCACTAAGCTATTGTTATCGTGGTGTAATCTCTATGGGCTCCGTGCACAAGTACCCCCTCAATGGTTAGAAAAGGGAGAGTTGGGGGAGACCACTGGGAGCATTCATTGCTGGCGGCGCCTGATGCGAACACGAAGTAGATCTGGGCTTGGGTACATTCAGAATAAATCGAGTCGTGCTAGAAATCTCTCATGTGCACACAAACCTTGCTTGGACTATAGCTTGATTAGCAGCAGATAGGTCTGCATTTTCTCGCAAAGCAAGCTGCACAATTAATTTGTTACTAAAAATGTGTAAGATTTGAGGCTTTGCATGGTGGAGATACTAATGAATGAAAGGTTTGAAGAAACACCAAGCTTTCTCAAGGCTCCCAGCTACTTGGCATCAAGATGCAACCTCACACTTCATCAAGTACGCATTTGGTACTTATGTGTTTACTTTCATAGAGTTTAGGCACTCTCCTTTAAGACGGTCAGAATATACTGACCGGAACGTCAAGTTCTTTTAGCTTGAGAAATTATTCCCACGTGGTGTTTCCGCAAATCTTTCATTCATTACTAAAAAAAAGTATCGCGTATTATTTGTTTGTGTCAACTTGCATAATCTAATAGTTAATAATTGTCATTGTTTTGTGTTGTGTAACTGCTCTACCTTTGCATCATTAACTAACTGCTTTTTTTGCCTAATCAACTGATTGCATGTTGCTTTGTACACGATAGGTGATACTTTCTCTAAAACTGATATTGTACTTTGCAAAAAGTTATTTATTAATCCTGATTATGTAGATATGTTTCCCCAAGATTTTTATGTCAGTGTTATTTTGGATTTTTTTTTCACCAGAAAACTTACAAAATGTAAAAGGAATAAAACTAGTTTCTTTTTTTTAATAATTATCCTTGAGATGTTTTGTGTCTTGCATTTTCAGGACTTATATTTTTCATTCAAGGGAAAAGGGGTTTTAATTAAATAATTATACTTAGCTCTTTCTATATTTTGGGACCACATTGATAAACTGCCTTTGAAAAGTTTTTTTTTAAATAGTTTTCATTAGTAGAGAATAGAGTGACATGTAAAGAAAAGCTATTTAATTTATTTTTGAGGTGAAAATAGTTATTATACCCACGAAACAGAGACCCCCAATTTGAAGTCAGAAATATGGTTTTTTTAGTCAAATGAAAGAACAAGGAATTTATTCTGGACAAACTTGGACTTTTCAAATGTAAAGAAGTTTTGAAGACTTTCTGAATCCAGTAAACCTTGAGCACCTTGTGACAGTCTGTACATAGTAACAAAAAGCTTCAGCTGACTGCCAGCTTCTAACAAACATTTGCAAAATTATGATTTCTTCTTCCAAATCATCCGACGCCCGATGCTTTTTTTTTTTTTACAACTCAACAGCAACAATAACAAACCTCATGCCAATGCCTTGTGTATTTTTGTTTTTCAAAACCATTGCTTCCGCAAAGGGCACACTTGTATGTGTTTTTCACCCTCCAGTGTCCGCCACGATTTCACTCAACACTTTGTCCCCAAAAAAGTGTCTGTCTGACTGTTTTTAAAATAACTACAGAACCACGAGGTCAATTTTGAAAAAGTTTGGTTGTGCAGATACTCCTAAGCCTTGGCCTCAACCCCTATGAGTTTCATTTAATTTCAGTCACGCATCGCAGCACAATTGTCAGTTGCGCACAACAATATTTTCAGACAATGTGACCAAGTTCCTTGCCTTAATCAATTTCAGTGCTGCGTTATGTAAGCTGTGTAAAATTCTGCATGTTGAGAGGAAAAAAGGCTGATTTGGTTTGGGATTGGAATCATTTGCCCTTGAGCATTAAACTGAGGTCTTGCCATGATGACTGGTAGCCAGGTAAATGATTCCAATCCCAACTGCAGCCCTTTTCACAACATGAAGGATTTTACACCACAGTACTGAAATTGAACAAGGCAAGGAACTTGGTCACAGTGTCCAAAAATGTCGTCGTGATCAATTGATAATTGTGTAGTGATGCGTGACTGAAATTAAATGAGACTCGTAGGGGTTGAGGCCAAGGCTTAGGAGTATCTGCACAACCAAACATTTTCAAAATTGACCTCAGGGTTTTGCAGTTATTTAAAAAATAGTCGGATGGACACTTTTTGGGACATACTGTATTGGCAAAGTGATTTGTCACTGCAAGTTACAAGTCTTAAGCTAATTTAAAAAAGAAAAAGAAAAAAAGATTAGCAAAACAAAGTTTTGCCAGTACCCAACAAACGTGCAACAAGATGTTCAAGAGAGCCAGTGCAAATAATTCTGGAGAAGACTTGGAAAAATGGCTCTGAAAAATAAATTTAAAACAAAAAATCACACACTTTGTATATTGAGACAAATTGATTGGGAAGTGTTCCTTCTTTTAAATTAGCAAAATTTTGAAGACGTATTTTTATAATTATTTTTCATGCATATCAGACTGATTTGTGTGTTAATCTTCCTCGTAAAATTCAGAACAAGTTGAACAAAAATATTTCATACTGATCTCATCAAACTTAAAATAAGCGATTAACGTGGGTCCAATATCACTAACATAAACGTATTATCCATCGGAATATTCTTTGATTCAAATCCACACTCAGACTAATCTCAAAACAGTGAGTCGCTGTTTAACTGTGGTTGGGGGCATACTTACATTAAGGAATTGTTTTAAGCACAAAAACATGAAACACATTAATATTCGTCAATCCTGTTCATTTGAAACCAAAAAAATGAATTGGTATTCTCATTTACTAAAAGCAAATTTGCCAAAAACAAATGCAGTCCATACCAAAACTAACCAGTTTGTTATAAAGAATAATCCAAATACTAACAATTTATATGAGACTCCCCCCCCCCCCAAAAAAAATACAAACACAACAAAACGGTCCACCTCTTAAGGCCGAATTAACTAAGTTTGCCAGTTTACCAAAAATGCTGTCAGTAACTTGTGGTTCATAGCTGTCATGACATTGGGAAAATTCTCACTAAAACATTCCAGATGTCATGCGAAAATGAAACAGAAAACAGCTCCCACATCTTTCTACATAATAATGAAGGTGTATGGCACTTTTGGATGGAACATATACCAGGGGTGTGAAATCTCAGCTTTAAAGCTGATTTCAGCTTTTTTTGCTTTGGATTTCAGCTTTTTCCCTCACTTGCTGTGTACAAAAGTATAGGAGATTTCTAAATTTCAGCATTTTTACACCTTTTTCCAGCTGTTTTCAGCTATTTTTATCAGTGGTCACTTACACCCTTGATATACTATAAGAAAAAACTTACAAGTGCACTCTTAAAGTACTGTGAGCACATGTTGAGCTGTAAAGTAAAAATAAAGTCTGTCACAAGCCAATGTGAACCATCAGGCTGGCGTTTATCTCCGGGTTCAGTATATTTCTACTCCCCCAGGACGGGATGCTAGTCCATGGCAGGTTACTCCCCAGCTAATGCCGGTACCCATTAATACTCCTGGGTGGAGAGAGGCAAGTGGGAGTGCTGTGGCTTGCCTAAGGACACAACATGTGGCCAGCAGCTGGATTCGAACCCCTTACCCTCTGATCACGAGTCACAAACCGTAACAACTGGGCCACACTCCCCCACATTTTGAGCTGTACTTATACGAAAACTTCAAACTGATGGCACCTACCAGATACACACCATCTGATCCAAAATCAGTCAAAAGAGGGCATAAGACACATATCAAACACGCACATAAGATAAGGCATTGAGAAACACAGATTTGATACCTGGCTGTTTTTGTACGCAGGCAATCCACAAGCTATGTCCTCCGACAGACGTATGTCACAGGGTAGCTCAAGAAGAGGTGATCACAAAATATTCCCATATTTATGACTTCAAATTGTACACAATTTTTTTTTTCATTAGGTCGGAAGGGTTTATTTTTTGTGTGAGTGATGTTTTAGTCCATCTGAAACCCATTTGTACTGTAGGATTTTTGTTGTAGGCTGTTAGGATATACATTAACTAGGATGATTGTCACTTTTTCATTAATTTTGCATTTTAGCTCAGAGTTTGATTCTCAGATGTTAAGATTTGTGTAGAATCTGTGATGAATTGGTTTTTCCAGATTTAGCTTAGGATGTAGGGTGCATGTATTTAACAGCGGAGTTGGCATTGAGGCATTCTAACTTTTCTTAGGTAAATTAGCAAGTCAGGTCGCAAGACATAGGGGCTGAAGAATGACACGCTGTCACATTTTATTGGAATGGCTTGTCTATTTTCGACTTTAGACTAGAAATTTTGTGATGGACTTGCAAAGAATTGAGCCCAACTCGTGATTGTAGTCCCCAATATGTAACCTTGTCTATTTTTTTCCATTTTCAGAATTGTTTATATTCTTTGTGTTTTTTTTTATTGGAATACTTTGGCAGTTGACCAGTTAAGCTCCAGAGAGGCTTTACATTTTTTTAAACTGTTGATTTTTTTGGTATCTTTGTTATTCAGATTCAACCAACTCGGGTGACAACATGTACACAATGATGAAACCAGTACCAGGTGGCAACATGGGACCAGGGGTAAGTATTTATAGACCAAAATGTCTATGACATCATCATCTATTTTTAACATCAAATTGAATGGTAGTGCATTGAACGTTATGTAATAACATTTACAAGATGGAATTGGCTTTGGGGTGATATAAATCAATATTAGGTTTTGCCCTTCACCGACGTATAAACACTGTATACTCAGTGTGTTACCTCCCGAGTGAAAGTTGGAAAAAATCACTTGGGTGGGACTGGAACCCACGACCTCTTGCGTTCTAGCGCTGATGTCTTTCCACTCGACCATCGAGCTTGCGGGATCGGTTGGCTGGTTGACTTTCCACTCGGTGGTCGAGTGGTAAGGCGTCTGCACTCTGCACAAGATTATTTAAAACGTTGCGCAGCTATGCCAAGTTTTGTGAAATCGATCGTAACTTGAATGCGCAGCTGCGCAATAAATTTGTGGCGTAAGTCCTATGCATGGCGAAAGTTACGCACTGTTTCGTGAGATCGGCTGCTGCAATGCATAAGGCCAATAGGTGTTTGATCGCAGGCCCACGGGTATTTACTGATAACAATTTTGACATCGAAGAAAAAAATGCATAAACTTAGAAATAAGAAATGACATTGGGAAACGGATTAGACAAAAACATGTTTATAGTGTAGCAATCTAAATATTGCATTTACCAAATTAAACACCCGCCATGCAAGAGAAAACTACATGAACCATCTCAAAGCCTTATAAAACAATTCCCACGGCACAATGGCCATCAAAAATGCTGATTACAGCTATAGTTAATTTTGAAAGCCATCATGCTTTCATTTTAATTGGCAATTAAAATTGTACTTCCCGGAACCTCAATAATTAAACCTCATGGACTTTAATTTGAAGTTTTCCACTTCAATTAAAGCGAGCCTCATCCACGCGTTGGTTTTTTGTAATTGGCAATTACAAAACTTCATTCTCTTGGATTTTTGATAATAATCCCTCGGTTTGACAAGAGCTTAATTTGTCCTGAGCCCCTGCAGCATTTATTATAGACTTTTGATTAGAATGTCCTTGAGGGCCAAAGCAACATATATTACATCTACAGGATGTAAATGTTCATCCTTGACTGTCAACGGGTTATAGCTCTTTGAAGTGCCACTTCGGTTTGAACTGTAGATCCTTTAGCACTGCAGCTATCTTGGATGTGTGTTCTGTTGTTGTGCAGGGAGATGCATGAGGACCTGTTGCGCATTCATTGTTACTGAATGAAGATAAACACAAAACCTTCAAGGTGGCGGCTGAATATTTACCGACGATGGGTCATTTGAGAGACATTCCCATAGACTTGTACACACATTTTTTTTCTCCAACTTTAATGACCCCTTACCCCAATTTTACCTTATCCTACCCCCACAAATATTGGTATTTTTTACTAATAAGCCATTTGTGAGTTCAATTTGAATAAAATCTGGAAAGCTGACTTAATCCAGTGCTTTGCACGTTTTAACTTGCATTCTCCCGACCAAAGAGACTGTTACTATATCACGTGATTCGGGGCAAGCCTTACGCTAGCAACCCCTAGCTGAGGCATGGTCTGGTGTCTTTCTGCCAATCTCACCCATTGTGAGCAATGTATTGGTGCTGAACGTCTCTTACGTAATGCAAGAGCTTGCCCCGAATCATGGGATTAGCAACAGTGTCTTTGGTCTGGAGAATTCAAAGTTAAAATGTGCCAAGCATTCTGAGCAAGTCAGTGTACCAGATGTTTTTCAAATGTAAATCCCAAAGGGTATAGGTTACTTGCAAATGGCTTATTGGACCACAAGCAATTGATCTAGCTTATTTGCGACAGCAAAATTTTGCCTCTAAATAGGGGCTGAGGCATTAGGGAGACATTCCACATGTCTCCCAAAAGTACAACTTATGGCGCTAATTAAGTGTTCCCCAAAGGTCCTGCTTGTGGTTGTAAGAAAAAAAAAATTATTTGGTACTTAAATAGCGCTTTATACTAAAGGTCTCAAAGCGCTTCATAATTACTATTACCCTGTTCATCAGGTCGTGTGACCAGTTATTCTGCAGCAGCTCGAGAGCAGTGCAATCTGGTCTCTACCCTCACAGGTACCCATTTATACTCCTGGGTGGAAGGAGGCAATTGTAGTAAAGTGTCTTGCCCCAGAACACAAGCATCAGTGCAATCTGGTCTATACCCTCACAGGTACCCATCTATACTCCTGGGTGGAGAGAGGCAATTGTAGTAAAGTGTCTTGCCCAAGAACACAAGCATCAGTGCAATCTGGTCTCTACCCTCACAGGTACCCATTTATACTCCTGGGTGGAGAGAGGCAATTGTAGTAAAGTGTCTTGCCCAAGAACACAAGCATCAGTGCAATCTGGTCTCTACCCTCACAGGTACCTATCTATACTCCTGGGTGGAGAGAGGCAAATGCACCGGTAGTAAAGTGCCTTGCCCAAGAACACAAGCACCGTGGTCCCTTTCAGGTTCAAACCCACGCGCTATTATGTCTGTTGTTTGTTTTGTTATACAGTGTATTTTGAATAATGCGGTTTTTTTCCCCTTGGTTTGTTAGAATTTCCCAATGGGATCAGGACCCGACGGCCCAATGCCCATGGGATCACAGGACATTCCTCCAGTAATGAATGGTAAGTCTAAGGCCAAATTTTTTTTTTTTTTAATCATGCGCGTCAACCTTTTTTTTTCTTCAAATTAACACGGAAGCTACAACAGCGCCCTCTATTGCCGCGCTTCCTCAAATTTTTGTACCAAGGAGCACCAAGGAATGGGGAAATTGCAGCAAGGCAAATGATAAAGGGCACCAAGGCAAATTGTGGAGGACACCAATGTATAATGAGGACACAAAAAAGCAAAATAGTACCCACCTTGTCTGTACAATCCAAGCTTGAAAAAAAAAAAAGCCACCAAAAAACCAAAAACAAACCGCGTCGCCGCATCAATTCTGGAACTTCAGTCTGACCAGAGACTGACTATTTTTTTTTTCTGGCTTAATATAAGGAGAAGGAAATAACTGTTGCAATTCGACTGCAGAATAGGAAACGCAGGATCCTCGTGACCAATGCAACAGGAAACGATCCACTCTAATTGGAAGTAATTGTGGGAAACATTAGCTGGAAGTGTGCACCAAGCTACCAGAAACAATGTATTTTTGCATGAAGACTGTTCTTTCAGATTGGTCTCGGGTAACAACTGGAACAGAGTAATGTTCACTTTTCCCAAATCTTTTTAAGTTTGATCCACGGAGGCATTTTAACCAGTTCGTGTCAGAGGACGTGATTACACGCACTGGCTGTTTTTATATACAGGCACGGCTGATGGGTTAAGACGTCCAGATTGCCTCAACTCGCCTCTGGGTGACGTCTAAACACGCTAATCCGTTGTGCCTTTTGTACACACACACACACAAAGTATAGCACGTTTGTTTATGGTGTAAATTGAGGATTTTCTTTTGTTCCTGTTCCCTTTTCCTTTGTTTGTACTGTAACTTTTTCGCAACAGCTCTCATTGGATTTGTACACGTTTTCTTATCGAGGTCGTCCTCGATTTGGTTCCTGTCCGATGATGTTGCACGTGTGCATGTGTCCTCGATTACACCATAAACAAACGCTGTGGAGACGGACAATGTGTTGATCTTGAATTGGCCGTTGTGCACGGCCTATTGTTGTACAACTTACGCTCCAGTGCACACCCCGGAGTATTGAAACATATGAGGTTTCGGCAAGAAATATCTGTTGAAATGACTCTTGCAAATCAGTATTTGTGGCGTTTGACTGTATATCAGAAGTTGGCTGGAAAATTTTGCCTTATGCGAAAATTGAAATTTTCGGCAAAAATAATCCCGGCGCGAAGTGGTTAAGTAGAGTTGTAAAGTCCATTACAAGTCAGTCACAAGCTATTAAACCACAAGGCCTCAAGTTTCAAGTGATGCTGGTTTTCACTTAGGCACCTACCATCACATTTTGCAGGCATGCAACTTTTCCTCGGATCCGCTGATTTCCTTGTTTTTTTTTACTTCTTGTGAATGCCATTGCAAATTGAAAAATACTGTACAAAGTCTTGTGTAGTTTCCTCGTTTTTTCCCCTCTAAATTCCAGTTGCATGCCTGATTAAAGAATCCCTTCAAACTGGGATATTCCCTACATTTTCACTCCTGTCACTTGTGTGCGGAGTCTCTAGAAAGTAGTGAACAAAATCATTGTAAGGTTGCCAACTGTGAAAAAGGATGAGGTTTGTCAAAATTTTACCACTGGTCTCATTAATTGATCGATAGTCATCCATGTAAAGTTGGGTCTAACAGGTGTCTTGCAGCACTTGTTGCTTTCCCTCGACGTCCACCATAAGTAATTACTATATTTCTTTGATGGTTTCCAATGTTCAGGTGAAATGGACGGTTTGCCTAAGAGTTCGCCAGCAAGCAATCAGGGCCCCGGCGGGCCAGGAACGCCCAGAGAAGATAACGGGGATATGAGCGGCCAGTTGTTTCCAAACTTCCAAGATAATGTAAGTCTCTTTACCCTTTGGCATATCTCAAAAGAATTGAACCCAAAACCTTTCTATTCGAGTGTAATAAATCCAACCTCATAGGAAAAGATTCTTATTCGTGGTGGCTTTAGGCTTGGGTGATAGAGATAAAATTAAAATTAAATTTTTTAATTAACCCTCTTGAGGATGTCTCCCTAAAGTAACTAATTCTTGGACAAATCTGCAGAATATTTTCATCCTTTGACAAACTGTTTGAGAACTTGGATGGAAGCTGGAGAAATTTGGCATATGACATATCAACATTCATTTGCTGTCCAATTACCATAGGGGGAATCCGTTAAGGAGAATACACGAGAAAGTGTGGATTTGTAATTTAAGAATTCCTGAGGCTCTTATACATAATCAAGCATTGTGGCGTGTTTAGCATGTGTATCGCCACACCCGTACAACCAAGTCATTTTGTGTGTAGGCTCCTTCTGTCAACATGGATAGTTCATGCGAAGATTTTCTTTCTGAATCAAAGTAGTTTTTGCAGTGACAGCGGAGAATCTGACAGTGAAGATGCATTGGTAATTACGGAAGGAAAGTTTTCATGCAGACGGTCCTATTAATGCTTCGTCATGGAGAACAATTGTCCGACGTGTTCAAAGTGTGGATTCGTAATTCCGAATCCACACTTTACTAAAGATTCGTTGTTCCGAATCCACACTTTACTAAAGATTCGTTGTTCCGAATCCACACTTTGTGGCCAGTGTATCAGATTCGTAGTTCCGAATCCTCACTTTTAATCTGTACGCACAAGCCAAACTTCATTGATTACCTGTAAAAAACAACTGACCTTTAGTGCAGAATTTTCTACGATTAGAAGGGAAGATTCCATGCATGGGCGTCGCCAGGATTTTTTCTAGAGGGGGGCAAAACATTTTTTTGCCAAAAAGTGCTTGTATTTCTCAACACATTCTCGATTTATCAGTTTTAGAGGGGGGCAGGGACATTTTGCCCCCCACCCCAACTCATTAAATTTACACCACTTTGTCTTCGCGCCTCTTTTCTTTTTTTTTCTTTTTTTTTTTCTTCCTTTTTTTTTTTTTTTTTTTTTTTTTTTTTGCTTTTCCAGGGGGGGGGCAAGTGCCCCCCCTTGCCCCCCCCTCGCGACGCCCATGATTCCATGCATACTGAAAGCAGGGCCATGATATTTGGCCATGGAGATTTGAATTCAGTTGGAATCGGTCAACAGAATCCTTGCATCGTGCCGAAATAAAGATAATCATCTTCTGTTTCTTTCTCTCTCTCTGATGTTTTCAATCCCTAGGACCAGAACGAGTCAGCGGCGATACTTAAGATTAAAGAAACAATGCAGGAGGAGGCCAAGAGATTTGAGAAAGAGACCCCCGGCGAACACCCCGACTACTTTATGCATCAACCCTAGCAGCACGCCCACTGACACACCCCATGCATACACCCACCCGCAGCTAAGTCCCCCCACGGTCCTCCCCCCTTTCTTGGCAGGGCACCGGCGCTGAGCCGATGACTGCGATATCCTGGTGCTGCGACGAGTTTACCTAATGTCAGTCACATGATAAATTCTGATAGAGGGCGCCAAACACTTTGGCTTTAAACTGACTAAATTCAGAGACCATTGTGGGTTCTTACAAGGTACTATCAGGCTATGCAGATGAAATCATCATGATCAAAATAAGCTGGTGCCTACACGAATCATGCAGTAGCCAATTCCATTATGTACCATGATGTGGGTTACCAGACTGATTGGTATCCTGTTGTATAGTGGAGCCTTCCATAAGTATGGCACCACTGATCAGTCTAGTACCCTGACACTCTACTTAAACACACTACTAAACTCCTGATAGTTCTCAGGTTGTCATGCCAGCCCATTGGAGGAATTTGTCATGTGACTTAAAAAAAAAAAAAGCAGCAGCCATGTTGAGAACAATAAAAAGAATCAGCTAAGACAAAAGACGACGTATGACCCTCTCGACCTTTGAACTTTGACACCGACTTCCAAGCTGCGTACAACCACAAAAGTATTCATCGGAAAGGTGTTGAAACAAGTATGAAATACGTATTGAATGTCGGTAGATGAACACTTGAAAAAAATATTCAAAAATCCCACCTGAAAAGTTGTTTCAACAATAACCCACATCTATAAAATATTTTCTGTTAATACGCAAATCGTTCATGGGAATTGACACTAGATTTCTATGTGTATAATTATGCTATTAACATTTAATTCTTTTGGAGTTGCCAGACTGATATACCCACCATTGGTAATGCTGTTGCGTTTCAATAGTCTTACAAGACTTTATCCACCAGTATTCAAAAAAGCTTAAGACATAATAAATTTCTTTTCTCTACATGTATGTAACTTTAAGAAAACTAAATCAAGTTATTTTGATGCCATTTCCAATTTTTGCCTGTGGGGTCAAGTATAAAACCTTTGCAGACCTTGAAATGAAGTGGCCTGAACATTTTCTAAAAATACTTATTCAAATTATTCATCCAACACGTATTCACAATGTTACTTCTTCAAGAAGATGACGTTTATCAGCATAGCTGTCCACAAATACATATTCTTTTTTTTTAGTAATTTGTCTTTTAACAATACAGTAAACGGGGGACAATGCTCTGTAAGATTCGAGTGTCTCAAAACGTCTAAGAATTAGTTGGACAAGATGAATCCAGGGAAATCGGCAGTAATGTCAAGTTTCTTTTTCTGTTTTCAACCTTTTTGATTTACAATGTAAAGGTATTTTTTTCCATGTCACAAAGATATCACAAAGATTCCTACACTTTGCAGCTGTGTTTCAGCAAGACTAAACTAACAATACCAGACCAGAAGACTGCTTCAAAACCACCTGTACATACTCAATACTTTGTAAACACACCACCACACCGCCCCTGTACCCAAACGTGCATTCCTTCCACTAACATTATTTTCAGGCTTTTAAAAAATCTGAATCAATCACACTGAACCCTTGTTTAATCATCAACCCCCCCCCCAAAAAAAAAATAATCGGCCCTGGAGGCCTAGTTTATTCCAAGGACAACAAAAATTTTGATCAAGATGCTGGCGACATCTTGTTATTGTCTTGTTAAACTTGTAATGGTTTTCGATTGTAAGTCCCGCCCTTGAAATTTGTAAAAAAAACAAGTGGTATAGCTATTGCCCTCTTCAAAATTGCGTCTCTTCAAAATTATTACTGCGAATTTGTCAGAGAAACACATCTGCATTGCAAAAATGTGATATTACAAATTTAGATATCCCTTGTTTTTACTTCTTCTTTTTTCTAGAGGCGAGTTAAGACAAGAAGTCGCTCGGGTATCCCCATTTAATTCCGCAATTTGAACTTGTGTCCAAGAAATGCAATAAGTATTGTAAGATGCCATATTATTTCTTAGTTGGAAAAAACTTTTGAAAAATATCATGCCAAGGCAGGAACACACAGTGATGTTTAGAAAGTTGAGGTATGCAGGTTTGATGGAGACTTAAAATATGCGCAAAAAGATGTTGACTTCCCACCTTCAGATATTTAAATAGTATGAGCCATGAACAAATGGATGTACAATATCAGATTATAAGCATCAGGTACATCACATGCACTTCAGGTAGGAAATACAATCAGTAGGGAAGACTGTAATATTTAGGTCAATGGATTTTATTTTTTTGCGGCGGGGGGGGGGGGGGATCAATGTGGTGTTAAAACATGAGCTTGCATTATAAAGCCAAAAAACAAAATCCTCAGTTTTGAAGATTAGTATCAAGTTCACATGGACATGATTTCAGAGAAATGTGTTGATCTTTGTCAAATATTCATTTTCATCTAGGAAAAAAGAAAGAAATTTAGTCACTGTGTTGGCCAAGACATGCAAAGAATTTTAGACCTTTATTCATCATGGGGGATTTGTTGTCCCCGTGAGTCAAATGATCACCCACGGTCAGTATTTAGTATTCAGAGAGAAACTTGAGAGTTGTAAGAAATAAAGACTATTATAAAAGTGAAGAAGGATCACAACAGGACTTTGCAGCAGACAACATGGACGGAGTTCCATCGCGGGGAACAAGTACAAATTCTTCGGCATTCCCGTAAACAATTTTATACCCCTTTGTAGACAGACAGGACGGGGGAATGCGTATGTGTACAAACTTTGTACTAAGTGTTATTTGTAGAGTATACGACAAGAGAAATTAAAAAAAAGAAGTGACGAAAGTTCCTTTATTTAATGATTATTATAACGATATCACAGTTTGGTGACATGTTCATGTATATGTTAGAAAAAAAGATGTGTTGAGTGAGAAATTGTCCCCGTTTCTTTTTTCTGTTGTAGGATTTTTCTAGATTTGTTTGTGGATTTTTTGTTTATGTTTTTTTTTTTTTGTGAGCAAAAAAGTGAGAGATAATTCGGGAGGGGGCGGGGAAAGGAGAGGAATGTGAGAAGGGGCGGTTTCGGGTAATCTATTCATGAATTTAAAAAAAAAAAGTAAATAAGAGAAATAAAAAATGATTATAATTATTATTATTATTGGAGGTAGGTAGTTTGGATCTGTCCTGAAAATCTGTGGGGTACGTTTTTATCTTTTAGCAGATTTTTCCTTGTTTTGTTCCCTCTTCTCGTAAGTTGCTTCTCTTTTTTAACATTACCATAGTTTGTAGGTCTGTCGCACTTTAGCGCTGCTTTGTATGTAAACTGCTTATTGTATGTATTGTATGAACAATGAACTCATTTCTGCGTTCAGTTGAAGGAGTTTCGGTTACACTCTTTGCTGGGCCCGGGAAGTCCCTTTTTTTTTTCGTGTGTAGGAAATGTTTCAGTAGTAAACTTGAAGGCAATCAATGTTGCATGGCTGTTTTTATGGGGTAAAATATTTAAGCAGTCATGCGTCATTTGGTATGTCCGTTGTGATTGTTTGCGTTAGCAGATATTTTGAAATATTTATTATTTATTTATCAATTGACATGTCCTGCACGGCTAAATTGACAAATCAGTTTTAAATTGTGCGCAATAGAAAAATTAAGCATTTAACGGTCAATGTCTAACAATTGGGGGGAAAACCCACAAAAACAGAACGGTTGAGTTTCATCCATTGGAAATGACAACAGCAAAAAGTCATGGGGTGGCATGGGTGGCTTGTGCGTAAAGCGCTCGCCTCTCACTAAGGTGACCACGGTTCGAATCCTGGCTGTGGATGTATGTGAGTAGAGTAGTGCGTTGGTTCTCTCCTGTGCCACGAGGGTTTTTCTCCAGGCCCTCCGGTTTTCCTCCCTCCGGAAAAATCAAACACTTTCGATCTCAGGCTGTGCTCCCTGGACATATATGGGTCGATGTGGCCGGCAGCCATAGGCGCCTTCACGTGCAAGCGGCCCGACCACATTGTAGCCGCGTCCTTCGCATTTTAGCATACCGGCTGCGAGTAAGGATGATTAGCCTCCCAAATTATTATTATTATTATAAATTATTTGAAAACACGCAATGCAATTTTACACCCAACCGTTTTGTGATTTTCATTTATCGCTGGGTTAAGCGCAGTAACTGTAATCTTTGATTCCCACCCTACTTTTGTTATTTTTTTCTCTCCAATACTGGCCACGCAGCCGCACCTGCTAATTCTACACTGATTAGATTCTACTACTATCTTCTGGCTATTTTGTATTATTTATAGTCGCTTACTGGTCAGAGAAAAGTAGCATTTCCTTACAAGCTCCCCTCCACCGTCGTTTGTCTTTGTAATATTTTGTGCAAAAAAAAAAAAAAATGAAAAGTAAAACTGCCAGAGTTTATTTGTTGTGATCGATGTTTGCCACGCTCCTGTAGAAAAAAATTAAGAAAGAAGCCACCATGTTTTTTTTTGTTTTGTGTTTTGTTCAAAATGATACACTGTACATACATTTTAAATATTCAAAATAAATTCTCTCATTTTTTGGGGGAGCAACGGTGTAGCGCACGTGTAATCTTTGTTACACCGGAGCTTTATAAATTCGTTAATTTTGGGGAGAGAGAATTTTAATTGTACATTGTAGCGTATCAGAGGGTTATTTCCCATCATCCCTTGTGCTTTTATAATTGACCTATGACCCATGGCGGCCATTGTTTCTAGATGTTGATGTAATTTAGCTGGTCCACGGAGTGAATGTACGAAAAATTTGCATTATTTATTTAGGAGGTTTAAACTTCGTTTTCGACTCATCATTTTGAGAAGATTCTCCCCCAGGGCTACACAATTTTTAACGTACATTTAAGTATCATTTAAATCATGTACAGTGAACTATTTGCTCTTTTGTACAAATTGTATTTTTCAAGTTGGTCCTCATTATACATTCAAAATGGCCGCCATGTGAATAGGTCCATATATATTTATTTGTCTTTGTAGTTAAAAATTAAAAAAAAAGAGGGCGTAATTTTAGAACTCGAAACCATGTTTTTTCCACTCCCTTGGAGGAGTCCGTGGTTTAGAGCAAGTGATGAATTTAAATAAACCTACATGTTTTATCTTTATCGGCAATGTTATTAAGTTATTCTGATCCCATAAATCTTGTTCGTGAGAATGGAATAAAAGAATTGACTTTGTGTTCATGCAACCAAGAGAAAAAAAATTATATAATCACTTTTCTTTTTGAGTGTTTGATTTATTCGTGAGACTGGTCCGGTAGCGCCCCTTCAAAAGTCAGATGTGTTTCTATGGAACCTGAGTCTTGGTTCAAGACATTAGTGATCCAATAATAGACTGCAATGAATTGCCAAACTTTGTTATCATCCAGATAAAAAATATCTTTTCAAAGTTGAGTATCGTCTGAATTATTATTAATTATCTAAGAAGCCGTACGTGAGAATTTGGAAGGGCTAAGTATTCAGAAAACATATAATTTTTAAAGTTGATCAAAGTAAATTGACTGGAGCAAGATTTGAACCTGCAACCTCGGTATTGCCGTTCCGGCGCACTACCAACTGAGCTATCCAGCCCTATGTTGGCGGTTCCCCATTTTGCCAATGCCTTTGTTCAGACAACAAATGTCAGTACAATAAATTGAAAAATGTCAATTATGTCAAATTTAAAATTAAGTTTGACATGAAAAGGTCAAGTTCCATATTACCTGTTATAACCAATGTAATTAACTCCAAGAACTCAATGACGGATTGAAAGACAACTTGGAATTTCTTGCAATACACGACGCTCAAAGCAGCTGTTTAATAGCGAACGGAGTGCGAATGAATAAACATGCGGCAAAAAATGTTGCATTTTTACGCCACTTTTTTTCATCATATACTATCTCAATGAAGGTCAGTCATTACAAAGATGTGGAAAAGACATGAATCTCGGACAGAGAAACATTCCAATTTTTTTAGAAATACTTTAAAATGCATGCAACTCTCCATAGACTTTGTACACAACCAAAGAAGTGGCGTCTGGATACTACATTCTTTCCAAACTTGCACATCTGTAAGTATAGTGCCAACACTTTTAGTTTGTTGAAGTCATTCTTCTCAGTCTTATGATGTGATCATCTACTATAATGAATATATAATTTGACTACATTCCTGGATATATATAATAAGCTAAGCTGGTACTACGGGTCAAAAAATGCATGCAACTCTCCATAGACTGTTGTTTACCAATGGAATTAAACCAACATTTCAGATCATGTTCTCGAACCACACGTCTCGCCTGCTTTAAATGAGACCAATTTTACATTTTCACCCTATTTTACGACTTGACCTCATATGACTTTTGACCTTGGTATTTGACCTTTCACATCATCGTATGAAGGTTGCCATGTTGCATCTATGACCCAAGTTTGGTTTCAATTGGACTTCAACTTTTCAAATGAGACCAATTTTACATTTTCAGGCTATCAACTTGACATCAGATGACCTTGGTGTGTGACCTTTGACGGCATTATCATATGAAGGTTGCCATGTGGCATCTGTGACTCAAGATTGGTTGCAATTAGCTTTCAACAGGCTATTTTATAACTTCATCTCAGATGGCCTTTGACCTTGGTATTTGACCTTTGACTTCATAACCATATGAAGGTTGCCATGTTGCATGTACACAATGTATGACTCAAGTTTGGTTGCAATTGGACTTCAACTTTTCAAATGAGACCAATTTTACATTTTCAGGCTATCAACTTGACCTCAGATGACCTTGGTGTGTGACCTTTGACGGCATTATCATATGAAGGTTGCCATGTGGCATCTGTGACTCAAGATTGGTTGCAATTAGCTTTCAACAGGCTATTTTATAACTTCATCTCAGATGGCCTTTGACCTTGGTATTTGACCTTTGACTTCATAACCATATGAAGGTTGTCATGTTGCATGTACACAATGTATGACTCAAGTTTGGTTGCAATTGGACTTCAACTTTTCAAATGAGACCAATTCACATTTTCAGGCTATCAACTTGACCTCAGATGACCTTGGTGTGTGACCTTTGACAGCATTATCATATGAAGGTTGCCATGTGGCATCTGTGACTCAAGATTGGTTGCAATTAGCTTTCAACAGGCTATTTTACAACTTCATCTCAGATGGCCTTTGACCTTGGTATTTGACCTTTGACTTCATAACCATATGAAGGTTGCCATGTTCCATCCTTGACCCGAGTTTGGTTCCAATTGGACTTCAACTTTTGAAATGAGACAAATTTTTCAAAACTTTAACCAAAATACCACATACATACATACATATATACGGACAGACATAGTGATTGCATGGTCTCTTTCCTGAACTTTGTTCAGGCGAGTCAAAAAAAAGGCATGACAAATTTTACGGAGAGACTTTCATCAGCTTTGTGCAAGAGGGCGAGATTTAAACCCCATACGAAAACAATTCTCGTTTTTCAGAACGTCTGCCACTTTCGACTTGGTGTCCTTCAATGTCGATTCAGTGCTGGGGACATGGGCAGAAGACGCATGCTGCAGCCCAAAGCTTCTGAAGGAATGCAGGATCACCCCTGATGTCATTGCACACCTCCTCGATCGTTTGGCGCAACACACGATAGAGGAGGTGTGCAATGACATCAGGGGTGATCCTGCATTCCATCAAAAGCTTTCAACCGCATGCACGCGCCTTCCGCCACCGTCTCCAGACTCCAGCACTGTATCGACATCCCAAAATTTCATTCTGACATTCGACAAAGCTGATGAAACTCGCTCCATACAATTTGTCGTGCATTGTTTATATGATCTGAAAATTTGGTTCAATTCCATTGGCAAACATTAGAGTTATTTAGGATCAAAAGTAGGACATGTTTTTTTTTTTACACATAGTATTTAAACATCCCAAAAACCATTAAACTCTTCACGCAATAAACCAGTCGCTGCCATTCCGTACAAAAATAGTTCTTCCCACATATAAGCTTATTCACCCCATTTACAAACAAAATCCAATTAAAAATAGTTCTGTTGATATAGCTGAAAGCTCGCTGTAATTTACGTACAAGTACCTCATATACATAATGACTGCAATATATACAAAAA